AGAGAGAACATCGATTATGTCCTATCGACTAACACTATTGTGATTGAAGATGATTATCGTACTCGGTTAGCTGCAGTTGTAAAAGTGGCTCGATACCTTCTAGGGGAAGGTTTGGCATTTAGAGGGCATGATGAATCTCCTGACTCACTCCATCGAGGTAACTTTCTCAAACTCATATCTTGGTTTTGTAAGACTAATGCAGCTGCCGAGAAAGTCATGCAAATAAATGCTCCTAAAAATAATCAAATGACCTCTCCTACCATTCAAAGAGATATTATTGAAAGTTGTGCAATGGAAACAAGAAATGTCATATTGAATGAGATAGGAAAAAAGAATTTCGCTCTTTTGATTGATGAAGCTAGAGATTGCTCTGTGAAAGAGCAAATGTCAGTAATTTTGAGATTTGTTAATGATAAAGGGGAGATCATTGAACGTTTTCTTGGATTAGTTCATGTTGAGGAGACTTCTGCAAAGTTTCTTAAAAAGTCAATTGATGATTTTTTTTGCAAAACATGGATTGTCCCTTTCAAGACTAAGAGGTCAAGGTTATGATGGAGCTTCAAATATGCGCTGTCAGTTTAATGGGTTGAAAACACTTATTCTTAATGAAAACAAGAATGCATACTATATTCATTGTTTTGCCCACCAACTTCAGTTAGTTATTGTTGCGGCTGCACAAGATAGGGAGAGCATATTTGATTTCTTTGAAAAGCTTTTGATGATTGTTAATACAGTTGGGTCTTCATGCAAACGGAAAGATTATCTCCTTTAAGTACACGGGGAGGAAACTTTTCATCGCATAGAAATAGGTGAATTGTCAACTGGTAGGGGGGCAAAACCAAGCACATCTTTAGCTCGACCTGGTGATACACGTTGGGGCTCTCACTACAAAACTCTTGTTCGTCTTTTTGATATGTGGAATGCTATTGGTACAGTGCTGAATTTGTTACACAATCATGGTGAAACATCCAAAATTAAAAACAGTGCTAGTGGAATTCTTGATAAAATGGATTCTTTTGAATTTGTTTTTATCGGAAAGTTTATGTTAAAAGTTCTAGGTATGACTAACACCTTATCAAAGATGTTACAAGCACGAGATCAAAACATTGGTTGTGCTTTGAATATGATTGGTGTAGTAAAAAAAACTTGCAAGATTTTAGAGATCATGGTTGGGATGACTTTTTGAAGGAAGTTAGTGAATTTCGTGAAGAACATGCAACTGATGTGCCTAACATGGAAGATTATCTTCGTGGGCGATCAAGAAAGAAGATGAAAGGTGGTGAACCCATGACAAACTATGTACATTTTCGTGGAGAGATCTTTGCAAAGGTATATTACTCTTATTAGTTTTAAATTTTAATATGACTTTTTGGAAGTATTTTGATATCATAACGAATGAGGTTAAGTTATTATTATTATTTATTTGATGTTAGGTCATTGATATTCTTGCAACAGAAATGGATAGACACTTCACAGAGACAAACACAAATTTATTAAAGTGTGTAATATGTCTTGATCCTTCTAATTGCTTTGCAAGTTTTGATCAAGATCGACTATTGGAACTTGCTTTATTATATTCAGAAGATTTCAGTTCTAGTGATCGAGTTGAGCTTATTCATGAACTTCAAAATTATATATCTGACATGAGATCGAATGAAGTGTTTTGCTAACATCCCCAATCTTGGAAAAGAGCCAAGGCGTCCAAGTCAAAGCGTCCAAGTCCAAGCAACTAGATCTGGACGTCTGAGCTGTCCCGGCCAACCAGGTTTTGCCACGTGTTATTCTTGGGCTGCAATTAAGCTGAAGCGTCCAACCCCAAGCGTCCAAGTTGGACGCCTTAGGCCCTTCCTTTGTTGGGCTTCACGGCTGGTTCATGATTTAGGCCCAATTTCGCTCCGTTTTGGCCCCGAACATTGTTTTTGACCTCCTGGAAGCTCGTTCAAGCCCGAATCTCGATCCTTTGATGATTGATTCCCTTTTTCTCAAGTATTTCAACATAAAATGGATGATTTATGATGATTTCATGTGGAATCTTTTTTTATGACTCTTAGAACGAAAATGAGAGTTTTATTCATTAAAAACACATTTTATGGGATGATTAAATACTATTTGCGTGCAATAATGTTTAGCATATGATGTACTCCCTCCGTCCCACTGTCTTTGTCCACTTACCTTTTGGCACACCATCCAATGCACTTCTTTAATCCATTTTATTTTGTAATTTCTATATTAAAAAATTATAAAAATTTTATATTAATAATCTATATGTTAAGACGAATCAAACAAGATCACACATGACTATTTTTAGGCTTACACATTGAGAGAATTTGATGAGTCAAAGTGCTTAGATGAACAGTTTCAAAAGTCAAAACTGGACAAAAACAATGGGACGGAGGTAGTAAATGATAAGAACGAAACAGACTTATCAAATTCCTCACATGCCTTGCATTAAATCAAGATATTAGTTGTAACGCCCCAAAATATACCCTAAAAGTTATATTGAATTATTATTCAAGTAAACAAATTGATCGATTAAAATAAATTGTTGTTGGGATTTTGGCCGAAATGAAATGTGTTTTGATATCCAATATCACAATCTGGATAAGTTTCATAGACATAAATCCAATATGTTGACTTATTGTGTAATCTTGATTGGGAACTAGAATGTAGATCCAAATCAAAAATAAATAAAGAATTTGCTTATGATGTGGACTTTGAAATGATTTATTGAAATAAATCATGAGAATAAATAATATGAATTAAATGTGAGTTCCTTTTTGAATAAAATCAATTTTGATTCTGTCAAAGTCAAACAAAAAAAATATGTTATCGGAAAAAGTATTACAAAAAATCATTAAAATTATATCGTTGGATAGAGTTTAACTATCCGATCGCAACGGTGCAAACGGATTTCAATTCGGAGAAAGTTGGACCGAAAAGTGTATTCTGACGGGGAGCAAATTAGTCCCAATCAGGGAAGAAGTGTACAAACGGCGTCTCCTTCCCCACTATCTCAATTCTACGATCAATGATGCATAAATGTTAGGCGTGTCGTAGCACCTACAAATTAATTTATTATTTCCTTAACTTTTAACCCATTTATGATTCAATATTCATAAAAACATATAGATAGGGCAAGTAAGGGTCGATCCCACGAGAAAAATACTTTTAGGCTATGAAAATCAGTTTACTTGTCACTTTTATTGAATAAAAACAAACTAAAAACTAAAAACTAAACTAAAGGATATGGGGGGTTTAAATGATAAGTTCTAAAAAGAAAAAAATGCAAATAAAATAAAATAAAGATAACAGATAAGAGATAAGAGCCAGAACAACAATAGCAACTCGAACTCAAAAGTAAACTCAGAGAGAAAACAAACACACAAACAAACACATAAAACAATCACACCTTTAAACTTTATAAAAGGTAGGCAATAATAATTAACTTAAACCATTTTGAAAATACTTATAGTTTTTAGTAGAAAATAAACTGAACAAATCTGATTAATCAATTAGCTATGTCTTAATCCTGAAACTAAACTGCTAATTAAACTCAGGGTCAAGCTGAAGAAGAGATCCACCTGCGGTTCTTCCCTATTCTCCCTTATATAGCCTATGTTAAGACCTGCCCTAACTCTAGACCCTACTATATTTAAAAACCCAAGGACCTACCCCCAGATTTAATTAAAAATAGAGCATTAAGTTCTTTAGAAAACATCACTTAACAACTATGCAGTAGACTACATCTATTTAACATAGCCAGCTTGAAAACTCTGATTAATACTCCCTCCGTCCGGAAAAGAAGTTTACGTTTCTCTTTTTTCTCCGTCCAAAAATAAAGTTTACATTTCTAATTTTAATCCACACTCTTCCAAAAATACCCTTCTCTACTTTTCTTTCTTTCTCTTCTTTTTTCCTTACTTTTTTTTCCTTATTTCTCCTTCCTCTTCTCCGCCACTCTTTTCTCTTCCGTCTTCCCATCCTTGTTCTTATCTCTTTATCCTCTTCTCTCTTTTCATTCATTTGCTTCTCCTCCCCGCAAGTCTTTTTTCCTTTTCTTCTTTTCTCCTTTCTCTTTGTGTAGACCTGACTTCTTTCTCATCTTCCTTCTCTATCTTTCTTCTAGATCTAAACAGATCTGCAATCACATAGATGGGAGATGACGGTGATTAAGGTGGTAGCGGTGATGGGGGCTAGCGGAGATGGGGGATTGGCAGCAGAGATGGCGGCGATTTGCTCGTGCTAGTGCTTCCAGAAATTCTTTGATTTCTTGCCATATGAGATTGAATGCCATAACTATTATTTTTGCATTTTACTTTTTATTGATGCTCTTGGGAAATATGCACATATATGATCGTGGTGGGGAAATCTGCGAAGGGAGGCTGATGATTGTGGTGGGGGATGGCCGCGAAGGGAGGCTGCCGGAGACGGGGGCTAGCGGCAAGCCGACAATGGGGGTGGCAGGGGTGGCAAAAATCGGCAGTGGTGAAACTAAAGGTGGGAAGGGTATTTTGGACTAATTCACTCCATAGTCAACCTCCCTTAAAAATAATCAAAAGTCAAAACGTAAACTTTAATACCGGACGGAGGGAGTAAAAATTGCGTGGGAGCCAATTAAGCATTAACCAGGTGACACTTGTGTTTTGAAAATCTCAGTTATAAACGTACTCAATATCTTAAAACTGTCAATTGGAATTAGAGTTTAGGCGGCCGTCCTAAATTGATCTAATCCAAGTTTAAACAAAGACCAGTTTTCAAACACCTTTTCGAGTTCAGATTTGACAGTAGCATAAAGCTAAAACTTCAAAGCCATATTATATAACAAGAACAATCAAACCAAAGATTCAATCATTTTTATCAAACAATTTGGTCTAAAACGGTTTTATAATTCCAGAGACAATAATAAATCAATAAATCATATTTGAACAATTTAACATCAACACTCAAACAATTCAATACTTATAATATAACTTAAACATTTAGTAAAGAATGAATAGAAATTGAACACAAACAAATACGGAGTATTAAGTATTGGACAATCAAAGTCATAAATTGAAAATTTTATAACTAAGGTTATCTAATTAAAAGTAATGAAATTCAAAAGAATTAAGTTTCTCCCCTGGTTGCTGTCTTAATTTGCCGCTGCGCCAGAACCAGAGCCGTGACGCACGAGTCCTCAAGTTCCTGCCGTCCTTGAAACTGCTCCAGCCACTTCCGCCGGGATCCAATCATCGCCGCCTTGCCGGAATTGTCGCCATCAGACTGCCGGGCCTAGGGTCGAACCCTAGGCCGGCTCTCGCTCTCTCGTCCGATCTGTTCTCCCGTCTCTATCCGTCTCCTGGTGCGTTTATAGGGGCTGGAATTTCGCTTGCCGTTTAGGATTCAAGATTGAATCGGGGTCTTCCTATTTGCTGCGATTGAGATCTTCCTGGGTTAGGACTCAAAATCCGAGTCCAAATATGCTTTGTTTCTGTTTGCCGCTGGTAATCGAAGAATGGCGCAGGCTTTTGTCGTTGTTTGGACATTTGAACATGTCTATCCGCTGAATTGGGCTGTGTGATGGGCAATTAGATATTTGGGCTTGGCCCAATCCTTCTATTCCTTTAAAATATTAGAAAATATGAATATTTCGCCATAAAATGCATCAAAGTATCTTAAAAGTGCTAAGAAGTGAGAAAATAAAATATGTTATTTTGTGACTCAACAATAAACGAGAGGAAGATGTTTGGCTTCATTCCATCTTTCAGGCTATATAAAGAGTACCTCAAACCCCTCATTTCTACACTAAATCATCTTATTCTTCTTCTTATTTTGTTTCTTTAAGTGTGAGGAGTGTTGTGGTACTGTGCTGTGAAGTCGCTAGAGCTAGTCACAAACTTCACCGGAAGTTTTCTTGGAAAATTCTCAAAACCTTCGTTGAGCTTTGAGATAAGAACGTAGATATATCTAGTGATTAGAATGTTTGTATAGATCGTTTCTACGTTTATAAATGGTCGTTTAGTTGAGTTTTGTGTTTGAAGGCTTGAAGAACCAAAAGTCATAAACTTTGATATTGATGTTAAAACTATGAAATAATGATACCAAAATGATCTGTAAACCTTGGAGAATATTTCTATATAGTTTAATTGAAGTTTAGTGACTAAAAATGACATTTCTGAAAATTGGCCTGAGGTTGAAGATAACACTGTTCAAAACTACGCACAGAACGAAAGTCAGCTACCGTCCGGTACCTTGGTACCACCGGCAGGGTAGGCTGTACCGTCGGAACGGTAGACTAGCTACCGTCTCTACCGCAAAAAATCATTTCCTCTAGCGATACTTGATGCCAAACGGTACCCCGTACCGTTTGGGCGGTACCAGGGTACGGTGCGTCGGTACCAAGGTACCGTTAAGGGTACCGTCTGTCCCGAGAATTTTCAAAAACTTGATTTTTGAACTACTAAATCCTATTTTTGATACCAATCAATTATAGTCCACATTAATATGATTTTTGATAATAGATATGATGTTTTGATAAATCCAAGAATCTTGTTTGATGCATGACAGTAAGCTAGAGTGTTAACATTCAGCGCTAGGCCGTTATTTGTTATTGAATATTATTATTAATTGAAGATTATGATGATTAAACTTTAATGAATATTCTGATAATGGATAAACCACAAAGAAACATCATTGATAGTAATTTCTACGAAATGTTGATTGTAATGATTAAATAGATGACCCGTGTAATTATGGTAACGATCTTATTCTTACGAAATAATAAAATATGGTATTGAATGAATAAACTGTAAGAATGAAATTGTGAATAGATATGTTCCTTTGATTATCCTTATAATTATGACTTAATTAACCATGATTCAAAATGTATAAATTGATGAGTAAGAAAATTATGTGTATTGCTGTTAAGGCTAGAAGAACTCTAAGATATACCCATTTAGATAATTGATGTTAAGGCTATCTAAAAGACCTTTAGGATATACCTCTGATTAGAATGGAATTTTGACAATATGTATATGTGGTGATTTGAAAAAAAATGTGTAAAAGGGATTCATAGACCAAACTAGAGGATCACTCGTTTGGGAATACCCCAATCCAATGATAATTAGTCGATATTCTGTTGTTTTCTTAACTAACTACCGTTAAGCATCAGAAAATCAATTGCCTTAAACTAATTATAGTTTAAGTGTCGGGAATAGAATTGCCTTAAACTATTTATAGTTTAAGCGTGAGGTTGTCAATTACCTTAAACTAATTATAGTTTAAGCGTCGGGTGGCTAAGAATAGTTTAAGAGCATTGTTATGATTTAGCCTTAGACTAAGAATAGCTAAGAGCGTTGTTATGATCTGGCATTAGACTAAGAATAGCTAAGAGCGTCATTAGAAAGCAATGCTAACATTGATAATCGATTGGAAAGTTCTAATAACCGATTATCATGTCCCTCTAAAGTTACTAAATATTTGCTAAAAACTAGCTGGTAGTCGATTATCACATTCTGATAGTGGACTATTAAGATTCTCTAAAGTTCTGATAGTCTTCAATCATCTTCTGATAGTAGATTATCAATGGCCAAAAGTCCTAAAACCGATGTAAAAAACAAAGTTTCCCAAATAAAAAACCATTTGTTGAAAACACTTAGTATGTTATATAAAGTAAAAACAGAGAAATAAAATTTAAAAACCAAGCCTTTAAGGTAAAAATCATGGATCACCAAGTGAAGGATGGTTTCTACGGTTTTAGACCAAAGATCATAACTCAAGGTTGGTTGGAATTTAATTTAAAATGGGATCTGTTGAAAATAGGCCTAACATCGATTTTCAAGTTCTGAACATCGCTGTCGATGCTTAAACTTTCAAACTGGAAGCTTCAACCGTCACCTCCACATCGATGTTCAAAAGGTGAACACCGTTGTTTTGGAGGTTGACTTCCAAACAAGGAAAGTTTTAGCCTTTAATATCTTCCAACGGTCAGGTGCCAACATCGATGTTCACAAGTGAACATCGTTGTTCAAGCTTAACCTTCCAAGGGAAGATTTTGGCCTAACATCGATGTAGCTAGGCCAACATCGTTTTTAAAAAAACCTCTGCCAAAACTCATTTTTCTTAGGCTTGTGCTGAACGTCGATGTAGAGACACCTACATCGCTATTCAAAAAGCTACTAGAATTTCAGGCTTGGCTTAACAACGATGTTCATGATCCAACATTTCTGTTGGAAGACTAGATGCCAAACCATGTTCTTCAGGTGTAAGCACCAGGGAACGCTATTGGCATGTCCAACATCACTGTTGGGTTGGTTTTGCCAGAACCATGGCTAGCCGATCAAAGCCAAAAGCTGATATCAAAAATGAAAGTTCTCTAATTTAAGAACCAAGTGTTGAAAACACTTATTTAATGTATTTGAGTAAGAAACCAAGTGAAATAACTTAAAATCCACGTCATTAAGGTAAAAACCACAACTAGCCAAGTTCATGTCGTTTCACATGGTTTTTTCCAAACGAACAAAAAAGAAGGGTGGTTTTTAATACTCTCTCCGTCCCCCTAAGATCTTCTTGTTTTGACTTTTTGCGGTTTTTAAGGAGAGTTGAAAAAAGGTGAAAGTTTACCAAAATACCCTTAATGAAAATGGGTGAGGTGTAGTTGAGGTATTTTAAATGGGTGAGGTGTAGTTGAGGTATTTTAATTAAATAAGGTGGAAAAGGTGTAATAAATAAAGTAGGTGGGGGTAGTTGAGGTATTTTAAATGTTAAAAAAGGTAATGAGAAGATCTATGTGGGACAAATAAAAAGGGCTAATGGGAAGATCTATGGGGGACGGAGGGAGTATGTTTTTATTGGAAAACTGTTTAAATATGCCAAGAAGTAAAAACGAATCATCAAAAGTTAAAAAACACTTTGTTGGTTCGGACGCTAAAACCAATGCCGATGTCAAAAGCCGAACGCCGGACGACTTGGTTTTTGTTTTGTGCGGTTCTCCAAGTGTTTTTGGCTTATTAAAAACTTATGAAAATGATTTAGATAATGGATGAAAAACATTTAAACCTAGAGATCCAAGATTGTAAAGTTGATGCCGGTCTTGATCACATGAAGACCGACTCAACTGTTTCCTAAGTCTTCGTCTTCGTTCGTGGTTCTGGTTTTCACTTGTTTAATCTTGTTTTCACTTGGTTAGTATGCCATGTTTTTTTCCTTGAGTTTGTTCAACATCTTCTCATATTCGCGGCGGTTTGGCATTATCAAAACCTGTCACAAAACGAACACGGTTTAGCATGACGTAGACGTAAACACGTGTTCCAACAATTACATGTTAAATCTATCGAATAAAATGACATGTAAGAATTTCTTCTCAATCAATGACCAAGTTACATGTTAAATCTATCGAATTAAATTATTGATATTAATTTCTATAATATTTAGTTATATTCATTTTCTTTAAATAATCAAAACAAGTTAAATCTTCTAAGCATGTTTTACGAATGTTGGACGTAATGTTGCAGTATGAAGGGGGGAAAGACCATCACCACCTGTAGCATGGCAAAGGCACGATACGCCTATGCAGAGCGGTGCCAATCGAATGAGAAGTAGCGAGGTGACGAGGCACACCGGGTAAAAAAGTGGGAGCATCCATCAAGAGATTTTGTGAAAGTGAATGCGGATGCGTTGGTTAGTCTTGTTGATGGCATGATTGAGTTGGGTTTCTTGGAACGAGATCATTTTGGCTAGTTTTGGAAGCAAATAATGCAAGAGGCGTTTCGTAGGATTAGGTCAAAGCCTTCGAGGAAGTTTATTATGGGTTGACTTTTAACAAGTTTTTTTGAACACTAACAACTCTACTGTGTAATAATAATACCGGGTAGTAACAATATCGAGTAATAATAATATGAGAGGGGAGTAAAGCTAGCAATCGAGTCAATCAGTTTAGTTCCAGTTCGGATATTTTCGGTTCGTCTCTCTTTTGGATAGATGTTATAATCCATTCGGCTCAGTTTGGTTCAGTTTTGTTCCGGGTTAAATTCAGTTTGAATATTTTTTATATCGGTTCGGGTTTATATCTGTTTGGGTTTAAATCAGTTCGTGTTTGTACCGATTTTATATAAGATCTCTCTGTATTAGAGTTCCTAATGTTAGCATTGTGTATAGCCAGATCCGACTATGGGAAGGAGCATAGTGGTCATTGGTACAGGGACCAATATTTTAGGGGGCCTAATATATATATATATATATATATATATATATATATATATATATATATAGAGAGAGAGAGAGAGAGAGAGAGAGAGAGAGAGAGATCTTATATAAAATCGGTACAAACACGAACTGATTTAAACCCAAACAGATATAAACCCGAACCGATATAAAAAATATTCAAACTTAATTTAACCCGGAACAAAACTGAACCAAACTGAGCCGAATGGATTAATATATATTGGGATGATTGTGGCCAGATTTTTGGGACAAAAATGGATGGGATTTCGTGGTTATGAAGTGGGGAAGAGTGGGGGAAGGCTTTATTCAATGAAGGGAATAAAAGAAAGAAAACAACACACAAAATGTTTTTGTTTTATCTTTTTTGTCCTATTTTTGGCCAAGGCTGTAAAAATGAAGTAAAAGACTTTATTTTGGATATAAAATAGATATAAAATACTTTTGGATGTTTTGGGATGGTTTTGGATTGAAATGGGAGTGACCAATGGAACCCTCGGGTCAAACAGATGTTGTTTTGGCCTTTCGAGTTTTAAGACCTTTAAATTCAACTAAAATGGATCATAATATTTTAATATAAGTCCTTTGGTTTCCATGAGGGTGTGGGATGTGGGAGAGGATATGATAGGGCCTGGCTCGGGTATATTTTCCTCCCCGTCTTCAAAATAGTTTGCCCTCAAACTCGAATTTTCTTTAGGCTTACAATAGGGGCTGGAACTAATCATGTTTGGACCTTCTTCTTTGAGTATTCCTTGCCTTGAATCAACACTAGAGCACTTAGATAAAGTGTTCTTCCTTCCATGTATAACTTGATGGTATCCCTGCAAATTAAACACAAAAAGATTAGCACCAAAGGCCATTAGTGATGACATGGTTTCATGGTTTCCATTTTCAAGGGATGGCACGAATGGAAAACTCTCAAAGAGGCCTAAAGACCCATTTGGCTCAAACAATGGTTCATGCAGTAAGTCTTTTGGTTTTGGAAGGTTGGGTTTGACAAATATTGAGAGTATGGAATGAGATGGTTCTTGGGGTATTAGAGTACACGAAGCCAATGGCGTTTCAATATCGTCTTTGAAGGAGCCAAAGACATTTACCCCATTGTAGCTCTCATTTCCTTCATCCCAAATGTTCTCTTTAAGTGAGACTTGATATTTTATTTCATTTTTAATGAAACAAACTTCTTCATTGTCACTTGTCCATTCGAGGTACTCTTCAAAGGGGATAGCCTCCTCATCTGGACACTCAGAATAGTCATGACCATAGCCACAACACATATAAAAATGTTGATCATGTCCTTGAAATATTGCATCATTTGCATAAAAAACCTCTAGTTTTTTGAGGTATCTTTGGACATCCATATCTCAACAACCAGAGATTGGAATTAAGTGCTTCCAAATCTCAGAGTTAGATAATGAAGTCCGTAAACACTTTAAAAAAATTCAACGGCGTTGGAGAAGCTAAAATGGTTTGTCAGAGGCAAAAGAAGCAAGACTATCAGATTGCTGGTAGAATTGGGTTGTCAACTTCGGAAGGGCGTATCTCACAAAGCGTAGCTTTGAATTGAGTGAAATCAGCGGCCAAGCGTAGCTAAAGAGGGGTACATTTCAAAAATGATACCTCAACTTTCACGAAAATTTCGATTTGGTACCTAAACTTCAAAACCTTTCAAAAAATCCCTGAACTTTGAAAACCTTTCACGAATGGTACCTGAAGCCGGTTTTCAGGTAACCAACAGGTCATTTGGGCCAAATTTTATTTTTTTGTATTTTATAATTTTTAAATTGACCCCGTTTTTTTCTTCTTTTCCCTCCCCCACCCCTTCTTTGTCTTCTTCTTCTTTCACCCCTTTTTTTCTTTTTTTCACCCCCTTTTATTCTTCTTTTCAAAGCACCCCT